TGGGACCTTCCCTGGTCCTTGCACGGCCAGGCCGCCCGGGAAAATCGGGTGACCCTATCCTGGGCGGCCCGACTGGTAGCCTAAGAAAAAAAGTACATTTTTATTTTCATTTTACTTTTATTTTATTTTTACTTTTTTTTTTTTTTACTTTTTTCTTTTTTTTGGCCCGGCCAGGCAATTGGTCCCGGGCCCACTCTGGTAGTAGCCTAGGGACTGACTGTACAAAGAGGATGACGGTAATCGTTCGTTGAGAGAGAGAGAGAGAGAGAGAGAGAGAGAGGGACACTCACATCCTTGCGAAAGCGAGTTCCACTGAAGAAGAGCAGAGTCGTTCTCTCCATCTCCGGTTCTCTCTCATCATAGGTTGGAATACGATGAGCGTATGGGATAACAACATCTTTGACGAGGTTGCCCTCGTCGGGACTCATGCGACCGAAGTCCGAAATCATCATGATTGATCGCCGAATGGCTGGTCGGACAACGTCCAGCGCATTGGGATCCTGGGCAACGAACACGTGGTCCCGGCCCAAGTGTCTATGCCACGTGGGTTGCTGGTCTAACCAGTGTAAAAGCTCCCGCTGGAGCGTCACCGTGTACTTCCATCCTCCTCCACTGCGCAGGGAGCCGTTCCAGCTTCGCACGAGCAAGCTGAGAGAGGAGAAGAACGGCACAAAGAACACATCGGCGGCATCAGGATCAAACACCCTCACCGCACTCGATTGCGGTTTCCACCCCCCTCCCTCTCTCTTTCTCCCCATCATATCTAAAAATAGCCACCACTCTGCACTGTGCTGATGACGTGGATACTCCACTGCCTTGCCAACCTCCTCCTCACTTGCTGAACTCAACAGGTTCCTGGATCGCCAGTACGACTCTATCACTCCGTATGTGAACTTCCGCGGCAGATCATACATATATACACGTACTAATCGATTGCCCAACCAGCTTCTTCCTCCTCCTCCTCCTCCTCCTCCTCCTACTCCTACTCCTACTCCTCCTCCTTTCCCCTCTGAGTCGACATTTGCATCCTCACGTGAGCCCACATGAGGATCGACACGTCCCACCTGCAGAGCAGCCATTTCACGTGCATTGTCGTTGTTCGTCTTCTTGTTGTCGTCATCATCATCATTATCATCATCGTTGTTCTTCTTCTTGTTCTTGTCGTTGCTCTTGTTGTTGGTGTCGGTCTGCACTTCATGCCCTGACAAGGCCTCTGCCAGCTGATGAGTCAATCTGTTCAATCCATCGGGATCGCCCATGACCGTGTCCCCATTTTGGCCGCGGGACAAGTACTCTGACAAGATGCTCTGCACGCTGTGGCTGCGCAGAGAGCGGAGGACTTCTTGTTGTTGACACCCCTCGGCATTCCCTGTTAAGCTCAGACTGAGCTCTCGATTGAGAGCGAAGTAGCCGAAAACAAGGAAGAGACTCACTGCGGAAATCGGGATCCAGATGATCCATTGGTGTCGATGAGGAGCCGATAGGGATCCCGCTCCATGCGCTTTCCAGCGGCCCGTTAGAGCCATAATAATAATAATAATAGTAATAATAATGATAATACCTCCGTTTTAAATTGCCCCAGTCATCCACAACCGTACATTGCGTGAAGTGAGTGCCGATTTGCACAGCCTTCCTCTGCCTCACAGGTCCCAAAGGCCCCAAGAAGGCCCTAAGCCGGGCCTTGCTGGGAAGCGGTCCCTTGGCTACGGGCATAGCTGCATCCCCCACCGGCGACAGCACATATATACCCCGCGTGCCTGAACAACGACGTCCAATAGAAACCCGAAAATGGTTAGTTGTCTGGAAAGAAACAAAAATTATAAAATAAATACCTTTAATTAAAAAAAAAAACGTGGCCTAAAATA